GAGACGACTTCATGTCCCAGTTTTATTCCTTCAAGGCTGTAGAAGATTCCTTCAGCAACCAAATGGTAATGCTTCAGATTTGACTTCATGTCCTTTCAGCAACCAAATAATAGCTGAGACGACTATTGTCCCAGCTCTATTCGCTAGGGCTGTGAAAGATTCCTTTCAACAGCAATAATAATGCTTCAGAGACGACTTCATGTCCAGCTTTATTCCTTCAAGGCTATGAAAGATTCCTTTCAACATGGTAATGGCCTTTAGGGCAGCTATGTACAAGCTTTATTCCTTCAAAGGCTCTGAAAGATTTCCTTTCAGCAACCAAATAATAATGCTTCAGAGGTGACTTCATGTCCCAGCTTTATTCCTTCAAGGCTGTAGAAGATTCCTTTCAGCAACCAAATAATGTTCAGAGACGACTTCATGTCCCAGCTTTTATTCCTTCAAGGCTGTAGAAGATTCCTTTCAGCAACCAAATAATAATGCTTCAGGAGACGACTTCATGTCCCAGCTTTATTCCTTCAAGGCTGTAGAAGATTCTTTCAACAACAAATAATAATGCTTCAGAGACGACTTCATGTCCCAGCTTTATTTCATTCAAGGCTTAACAGAAGATTCCTTTCAGCAACCAAGTAATAATGCTTCAGAGACGACTATGTCCCAGCTTTATTCCTTCAGGCTGTAGAAGATTCCTTTCAGCAACCAAATGGTAATGCTTCAGAGACGACTTCATGTCCCAGCTTTATTCCTTCAAGGCTGTAGAAGATTCCTTTCAGCAAACAAATGGTAAATGCTTCGACGACTTCATGTCCCAGCTTTATTCCTTCAAGGCTGTAGAAGATTTCCTTTCAGCAACCAAATGGGGGTAGCTTCAGAGACGACTTCATGTCCCAGGTTTTTTCCTTCAAGGTTGTAGAAGATTTTCAAAATTGCAAATAATAATAATTCAGAGACGACTTCCATGTCCCAGCTTTATTCCTTCAAGGGCTGTAGAAGATTCCAGCTTTCCAAAACTAATAATGCTTCAGGAGACGACTTCATGTCCTTTATTCCTTCGACAAAACCAAATAATAATGCTTCCAGAGACGACTTCATGTCCTAGAAAGGTTGTATTCCTTTTCAGCAACCAAATAATAATGCTTCAGAGACGACTTCATGTCCCAGCTTTTTATTCCTTCAAGGCTGTAGGGAAGATTCCTTTCAGCAACCAAATGGTAATGCTTCAGAGACTTCATGACGACTTCGGGCTGCGAAGGTGTCCCAGCTTTTATTCCTTCAAGGCTGTAGAAGATTCCTTTCAACAACCAAATAATAATGCTTCAGAGACGACTTTCCAGCTTTATTCTTCAAATGCTTCAGAGGCTCCCCAACTAGAAGATTCCTTTCAGCAACCAGTGTAAATAATAATGTCACCTTTCAGACGACTTCATAGTTTCATGTCCAGCTTTATTCCTTCAAAGGCTGTGAAGATTCTTTCAGCAACCAAATAATAATGCTTCAGGAGACGACCTTCATGTCCCAGCTTTATTCCTTCAAGGCTGTAGAAGATTCCTTTCAGCAACCAAATGGTAATGCTTCAGAGACGACTTCATGTCAGCTTTTTTTATTCCTTCAAGGCTGTAGAAGATTCCTTTCAGCAACCAAATAATAATGCTTCAGAGACGACTTCATGTCCCAGCTTTATTCCTTCAAGGCTGTAGAAGATTCCTTTTCAGCAACCAAATGGTAATGCTTCAGAATGTTGTCCAGATTCCTTCAAGACTCTTCTTCGCTTCCAGTTCCTTTCAGCAACCAAATATTCCTGTCAAGACGACTTCATGTCCTTTGTGCTTTATTCCTTCAGGCTGTAGAAGATTCCTTTCAGCAACAAATAATAATGCTTCAGAGACGACTTCATGTCCCAGCTTTATTCCTTTCAAGGCTGTAGAAGATTCCTTTATTTGCCTTCAAACCAAAAATGGTAATGCTTCAGAGACGACTTCATGTCCCAGCTTTATTCCTTCAAGGCTGTAGAAGATTCCTTTCAGCAACCAAATAATAATGCTTCAAGACGACTTCATGTCCCAGCTTTATTCCTTCAAGGCTGTAGAGACGATTCCTTTCCTTCAAACCAAATAATAATGCTTCAGAGACGACTTCATGTCCAGCTTTATTCCTTCAAGGCTGTGAAGATTCCTTTCAGCAACCAAATAATAATGCTTCAGAGACGACTTCATGTCCTATTTTATTCCTTCAAGGCTGTAGAAGATTCCTTTCAGCAACAAGTGGTAATGCTTCAGAGACGACTTCATGTCCCAGCTTTATTCCTTCAAGGCTGTAAAGATTCCTTTCAGCAACCAAATAATAATGCTTCAGACGACTTCATGTCCCAGCTTTATTCCTTCAAGGCTGTAGAAGATTCCTTTTCAGCAACCAAATAATAATGCTTCAGAGACGACTTCATGTCCCAGCTTTATTCCTTTCAGCAAGCAAATGGTAATGAGAGATTCCTTCAAAGGCTTTTCCTTTCAGCAACCAAATGGTAATGCTTCAAGACGACTTCATGTCCCAGCTTTATTCCTTCAAGGCTGTGAAGATTCCTTTCAGCAACCAAATGGTAATGCTTCAGAGACGACTTCATGTCCCAGCTTTATTCCTTCAAGGCTGTAGAAGATTCCTTTCAGCAACCAAATAATGTCCAGCTTTATTCCTTCAGAGACGACTTCATGTCCCAGCTTTATTCCTTCAAGGCTGTAGAAGATTCTTTCAGCAACCAAATGGTAATGCTTCAGAGACGACTTCATCCCAGTTTATTCCTTCAAGGCTGTGAAGATTCTTTCAGCAACCAAATGGCCTTCAGAGGACTTCATGTCCCAGCTTTTTTCCTTTCAGCAACCAAATGGTAATACTTCAGAGACGACTTCATGTCCCAGCTTTATTCCTTCAAGGCTGTAGAAGATTCCTTTCAGCAACCAAATGATAATGCTTCAGGAGACGACTTCATGTCCCAGCTTTTATTCCTTCAAGGCTGTAGAAGATTCTTTCAGCAACCAAATGGTAATGCTTCAGAGACGACTTCATGTCCCAGCTTTATTCCTTCAAGGCTGTAGAAGATTCCTTTCAGCAACCAAATAATAATGCTTCAGAACGACTTCATGTCCCAGCTTTATTCCTTCAAGGCTTTCCTTCAAGGCAACCAAATATTCCTTTCAGCAACTTCATGTCCCAATAATAAATGCTTCTTCAGAGACGACTTCATGTCCCAGCTTTATTCCTTTAAGGCTGTGAAGATTCTTTCAGCAACCAAATAATAATTTCAGCTGGTAATGCTTCAGACGACTTCATGTCCCAGCTTTATTCCTTCAAGGCTGTGAAGATTCCTTTTCAGCAACCAAATGGTAATGCTTCAGAGACGACTTCATGTCCCAGCTTTATTCCTTCAAGGCTGTAGAAGATTCCTTTCAGCAACCAAATAATAATGCTTCAGAGATGACTTCATTTCCCAGAAGATTCTTTTTCAGCAACCAAGTTCCTTCAAGGCTATTAGGCTGAAAGATTCCTTTCAGCAACCAAATAATAATACTTCAGACGACTTCATGTTCCAGCTTTATTCCTTCAGGCTCTAGAAGACTCTTTCATAACCAAATTCAGAGACGACTTCATGTCTTTGTTCCTTCAAGGCTGTAGAAGATTCCTTTCAGCAAGCAAATAATAATGCTTCAGAGACGACTCTGGCGTCCTGCTTTATTCTTCAAGGTCAGAAGACTTTCAGCAACCAAATAATGTCGCTTCAGACGACTTCATGTCCCAGCTTTATTCCTTCCAAGGTTGCAGAAGATCTTTCAGCAACTAAATAATAATGCCTAGAGAGATCGTCCCAGCTTTATTCCTTCAAGGCTGTAGAAGATTCCTTCAGGCACCAAATGGTACGCTTCAGAGACGACTTCAAAGTCCCAGCTTTATTCCTTCTGGCCAGAAGATTCCTTCATAACCAAATAATAATGCCTAGAGACGACTTCATGTCCCAGCCTTTATTCTTCAAGGCTGTAGAAGATTCCTTTCTAGCAACCAAATAATAATGCTTCAGAGACGACTTCATGTCCCAGCTTCCTTCGATTCCTTCAAAACTTCAAGACGACTTCATGTCCCATTTTCCTTCAAAGGGCTGTGAAATTCCTTTCAACCAAATGAAATGTCCCAGCGACTTTATTTTATTCTTCAAGGCTGTGAAGATTCCTTTCAGCAACCAAATAATAATGCTTCAGAGACGACTTCATGTCCCAGCTTTATTCCTTCAAGGCTTCATGTCCCCAGAAGATTCCTTTCAGCAAACCAAATAATAATGCTTCAGAGACGACTTCATGTTCCCTTCATGTCCCAACTTTATTCCTTCAAGGCTGTAGAAGATACCTTTCCAGCAACCAAATAATAATGCTTCAGAGATTCATGTCCCAGCTTTATTCCTTCAAGGCTCTAGAATTCCTTTCAAAACCAAATGGTAATGCTTCAGAGACGACTTCATGTCCCAGCTTTTTCATTCCTTTCAAGGCTGTAGAAGATTCCTTTCAGCAACCAAATAATAAGACGACTTCATGTCCCAGATTCCTTCAAGGCTGTAGAAGATTTTTCCAACAAATGACTTCATGTCTTTATTCAGGAGACGACTAATATGTCCAGAGACGACTTCCTTTTATTCTTCAAGGCTGTAGAAGATTCCTTTCAGCAACCAAATAATAATGCTTCAGAGACGACTTCATGTCCCAGCTTTATTCCTTCAAGGCTGTAGAAGATTCCTTCAGCAACCAAATGGTAATACTTCAGAGACGACTTCATGTCCCAGATTCCTTCACTGTACTTTCATAATAATGTCCGACTTCAGCTTTATTCCTTCAAGGCTGTAGAAGATTCCTTTCAGCAACCAAATGGTAATGCTTCAGAGACGACTTCATGTCCCAGCTTTATTCCTTCAAGGCTGTAGAAGATTCCTTTCAGCAACCAAATAATAATGCTTCAGAGACGACTTCATGTCCCAGCTTTATTCCTTCAAGGCTGTAGAAGATTCCTTTCAGCAACCAAATAATAATGCTTCAGGAGACGACTTCATGCTGTCCCAGCTTTATTCCTTCAAGGCTGAAGATTCCTTTCAGCAACCAAATAATCCTTCAGAGACGACTTTTGTCCCAGCTTTATTCCTTCAAGGCTGTAGAAGATTCCTTTCAGCAACCAAATGGTAATGCTTCAGAGACGACTTCATGTCCCAGCTTTATTCCTTCAAGGTTGTAGAAGATTCCTTCAGCAACAAATAATAATGCTTCAGAGACGACTTCATGTCATGTCCCAGCTTTTTATTCCTTCAAGGCTGTAGAAGATTCCTTTCAGCAACCAAATAATAATGCTTCAGAGACGACTTCATGTCCCAGCTTTATTCCTTCAAGGCTGTAGAAGATTCCTTTCAGCAACCAAATAATAATGCTTCAGAGACGACTTCATGTCCCAGCTTTATTCCTTCAAGGCTGTAAAGATTCCTTTCAGCAACCAAATAATGCTTCAGAGACGACTTCATGTCCCAGCTTTATTCCTTCTTCACATTTCTAGAAGATTCCTTTCAGGGAACCAAATAATAAAAGCTGTAGAAGATTCAGAGAAATGATAATGCTTCATGTCCCAGCTTTTATTCCTTCAAGGCTGTAGAAGATTCCTTTCAGCAACCAAATAATGATGTCCCACTTTACTTCGCGTCCCAGCTTTATTCCTTCAAGGCTGTAGTAGAAGATTCCTTTCAGCAACCAAATAATAATGCTTCAGGGCAATGACTTGTCAGCTTTATTCCTTCAAGGCTGCATTCCTTTCAAAGCAAATGGTAATGGAAGACTTCGTACCCAGCTTTATTCCTTCAAGGCTGTACCTTTCAAATTAATGCTTCAGAGACGACTTCATGTCCCAGCTTTATTCACTCAAGGTTGTGAAGATTCCTTTCAGCAACCAAATAATAATGCTTCAGAGACGACTTCATGTCCCAGCTTTATTCCTTCAAGGCTGTAGAAGATTCCTTTCAGCAACCAAATGGTAATGCTTTGAGACGACTTCATGTCCCAGCTTTATTCCTTCAAGGCTGTGAGAATTCCCTTTCAACTGACAAATAATAATGCTTCAGAGACGACTTCATGTCCCAGCTTTATTCCTTCAAGGCTGTAGAAGATTCCTTTCAGCAACAAATGGTAATAGCCAGAGACGACTTCATGTCAGCCAGCTATTCCTTCAAGGCTGTGAAAGATTCCTTTCAACAACCAAATTCCTTCAATAATTCCTTTCAGAACGACTTCATGTCCTATTTTATTCCTTCAAGGCTGTAGAAGATTCCTTTCAGCAGCAAATAATAATGCTTCAGAGACGACTTCATGTCAGCTTTATTCATTCAAGGCTGTAGAAGTTCCTTTCAACAACCAAATAATAATAGCTGAACGACTTCATGTCCCAGCTTTATTCCTTCAAGGCTGTAGAAAATTCTTTTCAGGAACCAAATAATAATGCTTCAGAGACGACTTCATGTCCCAGCTTTATTCCTTCAAGGCTGTAGAAGATTCCTTTCAGCAACCAAATAATAATGCTTCAGAACGACTTCATGTCCCAGGTTTATTCCTTCAAAGGCTGTAGAATTCCTTTCAGCAACCAAATGGTAATGCTTCAAGAACGACTTCATGTCCCAGCTTTATTCCTTCAAGGCTGCAGAAGGTTCCTTTCAGCAACCAAATAATAATACTTCAAGAGACGACTTCATGTCCCAGCTTTATTCAGCAATAAGGCTGTAGAAGATTCCTTTCAGCAACCAAATAGTAATGCTTCAGAGACGACTTCATGTCCAAGCTTTATTCCTTCAGGCTGTGAAGATTCCTTTCAGCAACAAATAATGCTTCAGAGACGACTTCCCATGTCCTTTCAGCTTTATTCCTTTATTCCTTCAAGGCTGTAGAAGGTTCCTTTCAGCAACAAATAATAATGCTTCAGAGACGACTTCATGTCCCAGCTTTATTCCTTCAAGGCTGTGAAGATTCCTTTCAACAACAAATAATAATGCTTCAGGGACTTCTTGTCCCAACTTTTTTCCTTCAAGGGCTGTGAAAGTTCTTTCCAGCAACCAAATGGTAGTGAGACTTTCATGTCAGCTTTATTCCTTCAAGGCTGTAGAAGATTCCTTTCAGCAACCAAATGGTAATGCTTCAGAACGACTTCATGTCCCGCTTTTATTCCTTCAAGGCTGTAGAAGATTCCTTTCAACAACAAATAATAATGCTTCAGAGACGACTTCATGTCCCAGCTTTATTCCTTCGAAGGCTGTAGAAGTTCCCTTTCAACAACCAAATAATAATGCTTCAGAGACGACTTCATGTCCCAGCTTTATTCCTTCAAGGCTGTAGAAGATTCCTTTCAGCAACCAAATAATAATGCTTCAGAGACGTCTTCATGTCCCAACTTTATTCAGCAAGGCTGTTGAAGATTCCTTTCAGCAGCAAATAATAAATTCAGGAACGACTTTGTCCCAGCTTTATTCCTTCAAGGCTGTGAAGATTCCTTTCAACAACCAAATGGTAATGCTTCGAGACGACTTCATGTCCAACTTTATTCCTTCAAGGGCTGTGAAAGATTCCTTTCAGCAACAAATGGTATAATGCTTCAGAGACGACTTCATGTCAGCTTTATTCCTTCAAGTCTGTAGAAGATTCCTTTCAGCAAAATGGTAATGCTTCAGAGACGACTTCATGTCCCAGCTTTGTTCCTTCAAGGCTGTAGAAAGATTCCTTTCAGCAACAAATAATAATGCTTCAGAGACGACTTCATGTCCCAGCTTTATTCCTTCAAGGGCTGTAAAGAAATTCCTTTCAGCAGCAAATAATAATGCTTCAAGAACGACTTCATGTCCCAGCTTTATTCATAGGGCTGTGAAGATTCCTTTCAGCAACCAAATAATAATGCTTCGAGACGACTTCATGTCTAGCTTTATTCCTTCAGGCTGTAGAAGATTCCTTTCCAGCAACAAATGGTAATACTTCAGGGACGACTTCATGTCCCAGCTTTATTCCTAAAAAAGGCTGTAAAGATTCCTTTCAACCAAATAATAATGCTTCAAGAGACGACTTCATGTCCCAGCTTTATTCCTTCAAGGCTGTAGAAGATTCCTTTCAGCAACAAATAATAATGCTTCAGAGACGACTTCATGTCCCAACTGTTCCTTTAGATTCCTTTCAGCAAGCAAATGGTAATGCTTCAGAACGACTTCATGTCCAGCTTTATTCCTTCAAGGCTGCTGAAGATTCCAAAACCAAATAATAATGCTTCCAGGGCAAGATGTCCCCAGCTTTGTTATTCCTTCAAGGCTGTAGAAATTCCTTTCTGGCCAAATAATAATCTTCCAGAGACGACTTCTTTTTATTCCTTCAAGGCTGTAGATTCTTTCAGCAACCAAATGGTAATGCTTCAAGAGACGACTTCATGTCCAGCTTTATTCCTTCAAGGCTACAAAAGATTCCTTTCAGCAGCAAATAATAATCTTCGAGACGACTTCATGTCCAGCTTTATTCCTTTCAAAAATAATAATAAGAAACGACTTCATGTCCACGAAGGCTTCATGTCCCATGTCTTTATTCCTTCAAGGCTTAGAAGATTCCTTTCAGCAACCAAATAATAATGCTTCGAGACGACTTCATGTCCCAGCTTTATTCCTTCAAGGCTGTAGAAGATTCCTTTCAGCAACCAAATTGCTTCAGAGACGACTTCATGTCAACTTTATTCATTCCTTCAAATTCCTTTCAACAGCAAATAATAATGCTTCAGAGACGACTTCATGTCCCAGCTTTATTCCCTTCAAGGCTGTAGAAAGATCCTTTCAGCAACCAAATAATAATGGTTCAGAGACGACTTCATGTCCCAGCTTTATTCCTTCAAGGCTGTAGGGTTCCTTTCAACAACAAATAATAATGCTTCAGGAACGACTTCATGTCCCAGCTTTATTCCTTCAAAGGCTGTAGAAAGATTCCTTTCAGCAGCAAATAATAATGCTTCAGAGACGACTTCATGTCCCCTTTATTCCTTCAAGGCTGTAGAAAATTCCTTTCAGCAACAAATGAAATGCGCTTCAGGGACGACTTCATGTCCCAACTTTTATTCAAAGGCTGTAGAAATTCCTTTCAGCAACCAAATGGTAATGCTTCAGAACGACTTCATGTCCCAGCTTTATTCCTTTAAGGCTGTGAAGATTCGCTTACTGTAAAACGATTGTCCCAGCTTTCCTTCAAGGCTATGAAGGTCCTTTCAGCAATGGTAATGCTTCAGAGACGACTTCATGTCCCAGCTTTATTCCTTCAAGGCTGTGAAGATTCCTTTCAGCAACCAAATAATAATGCTTCGAGACGACTTCATGTCCCAGCTTTATTCCTTCAAGGCTGTAGAAGATTCCTTTCAGCAACCAAGTAATAATGCTTCAGAGACGACTTCATGTCCCAGCTTTGTTCCTTCAAGGCTGTTTCCTTTCCAACAAATAATAATGCTTCAGACGACTATGTCAGCTTTATTCCTTCAAGGCTGTGAAGATTCCTTTCAGCAACCAAATGGTAATACTTCAGAGACGACTTCATGTCCCAGCTTTATTCCTTCAAGGCTGTGAAAGATTCCTTTCAGCAACAAATAATAATGCTTCAGAGACGACTTCATGTCCCAGCTTTATTCCTTCAAGGCTGTAGAAAGATTCCTTTCAACAACCATAATAATGCTTCAGGGTAGACATTCTTCATGTCCAGGGCAGCTTTATTCCTTCAAGGCTGTAGAAGATTCCTTTCAACAACAAATAATAATGCTTCAGGAGACGACTTCATGTCCCAGCTTTATTCCTTCAAGGCTGTGAAAGATTCCTTTCAGCAACCAAAAATGGTAATGCTTCAGGGCGACTTCGGCATTGACTTTATTCCTTCAAGGCTGTAGTGATTCCTTTCAGCAGCAAATAATAATGCTTCAGAACGACTTCATGTCCCAACTTTATTCCTTCAAAGGCTGTAAATTCCTTTCAGCAACCAAATGGTAATGCTTCAGAACGACTTCATGTCCCAGCTTTATTCCTTCGAGGCTGCAGAAAGATTCTTTCAGCAACAGAAATAATAATGCTTCGAGACGACTTCATGTCCCAGCTTTATTCCTTCAAGGCTGTGAAAATTCCTTTCAACAGCAAATAATAATGCTTCAGAACGACTTCATGTCCCAGCTTTATTCCTTCAAGGCTGTGAAAGTTCAACTCAAGCAACCAAATAATAATGCTTCAGAACGATTCCTTTCAGCAACAACCAAATAATAATGCTTCAGAGACGACTTCATGTCCCCAGCTTTATTCCTTCAAGGCTGTTCTTCAACAACAAATAATAATTTCAGAGACGACTTTCAGCAACCAAATAATAATGGTCATGCTGAACGACTTCATGTCCCAGCTTTATTCCTTCAAGGCTGTAGAAGATTCCTTTCAGCAACCAAATGGTAATGCTTCAGAACGACTTCATGTCCCAGCTTTATTCCTTCAAGGCTGTAGAAGATTCCTTTCAGCAACCAAATGAAGTAATGCTTCAGAACGACTTCATGTCCCAGCTTTTCCTTCAAGGCTGTAGATTCCTTTCAGCAACCAAATAATAATGCTTCAGAGACGACTTCATGTCCCAGCTTTATTCCTTCAAGGCTGTAAAGATTCCTTTCAGCAAGACGAATTCAAATAATAATGCTAATGAAGAACGACTTCATGTCCCAGCTTTATTCCTTCAAGGCTGTGAAGATTCCTTTCAGCAACAAATGGTAATGCTTCAGAGACGACTTCCTTCAAGGCTGTAGAAGATTCCTTTCAGCAACAAATAATAATGCTTCAGAGACGACTTCATGTCCCAGCTTTATTCCTTCAAGGCTGTAGAAAGATTCCTTTCAGCAACAAATGGTATAATACATGTCCCAGCTTTATTCCTTCAAGGCTGTGCGAGATTCTTTCATAATAATGTCCGACTTCATGTCAGCTTTATTCCTTCAAGGCCTTTCAGTAGAAGATTCCTTTCAGCAACAAATAATAATGCTTCAGAGACGACTTCATGTCCCAGCTTTTATTCCTTCAAGGCTGTGAGCAAGATTCCTTTCTTCAAGGCAACCAAATAATAATGCTTCAGAGACGACTTCATGTCCCAGCTTTATTCCTTCAAGGCTGTGAAGATTCCTTTCAGCAACAAATGGTAATGCTTCAGAGACGACGACTTCATGTCCCAACCAAATAATAATGCTTTATTCCTTCAAAGGCTGTAGAAGATTCCTTTCAGCAACCAAATAATAATGCTTCAGAGACGACTTCATGTCCCAGCTTTATTCCTTCAAGGCTGTAGAAGATTCCTTTCAGCAACAAATAATAATGCTTCAGAGACGACTTATGTCCCAGCTTTATTCCTTCAAGGCTGTAAGATTCCTTTCAGCAACAAAATAATAATGCTTCCAGAGACGACTTCATGTCCCAGCTTTATTCCTTCAAAACATGAAAGATTCCTTTCAGCAACCAAATAATAGCTTCAAAACGACTTCATGTTTCCAGCTTTATTCCTTCAAAATGTAGAGATTCCTTTCAAGCAACCAAATAATAATGCTTCAGAACGACTTCATGTCCCAGCTTTATTCCTTCAAGGCTGTAAAGATTCCTTTCAGCAACCAAATAATAATGTCCCAGCTTCAGACGACTTCATGTCCCAGCTTTATTCCTTCAAGGCTGTAGAAGATTCCTTTCAGCAAATAATAATGCTTCAGGGACGACTTCATGTCCCAGCTTTATTCCTTCAAGGCTGAAGATTCCCTTTCAGCAAGCAAATGGTAATAACTTCAGAGACGACTTCATGTCCCAGCTTTATTCCTTCAAAGGCTGAAAGATTCCTTTCAGCAACCAATAATAATGCTTCAGAGACGACTTCATGTCAAGCTTTATTCACTAAGGCTGTGAACCTTTCAAACCAAATAATAATGCTTCAAGACGACTTCATGTCCCAGCTTTTTCCTTCAAGGCTGTGAGATTCCTTTCAACAGCAACCAAATGGTAATGCTTCAGAGACGACTTCATGTCCCAGCTTTATTCCTTCAAGGCTGTGAAAATTCTTTCAGCAAATAAATAATGCTTCAAGAGACGACTTCATGTCCCAGCTTTATTCCTTCAAGGCTGTAGAAAATTCCTTTCAACAAAATGGTAATGGACGACTTCATGTCCCAGCTTTATTCCTTCAAGGCTGTAGGCAACAAATAATGTGCTTCAGAAGACTTCATGTCCCCAGCTTTATTCCTTCAAGGCTGTACCCTTTCAACAACCAAATAATAATGCTTCAGAGACGACTTCATGTCCCAACTTTATTCCTTCAAGGCTGTAGAA